GTAAAGAATACTTTTTTAGGGACCTATAGTAGGCGTGGATTTTTTAAAGAATACTTTTTTAGGGACCTATAGTAGGCGTGGATTTTGTAAAGAATACTTTTTTAGGGACCTATAGTAGGCGTGGATTTTTTAAAGAATATTATTTAGGGACCACCTGACTTACCTTTTTATTTTAAACAAATTTGAATAGAAACTAATTTTATTTTATGAAAAAAGTTAAACATTTATTTGGTTTGGTATTGTTTTTATTTTTATTTTTTTTAATAAATAAAAAAACTTAGAATATCAGATATAACAAGCCAATGATATTGAGGGGTTGTCGGAAATTTTAAATGAAATGAAGATGTTACTCAAAAATTAAAAAAAAAAAAAACTAATTACAGCTACACTATAAGACAAGTAGGTGTATGTATGTGTTTGTTGTTGTGTTCATTTCTGTGTGTGTGTGTGTGTTATTTGGATGGAAAGTTGTTGATGAACGAACGGTGATGGTGGTGGGTGGACCAGTTCCTTTTTTAGGGGCTCTTCATAAAAAGGAACTTATTTTTGTTGTTGTTGCTTTTAAATGGAATTAATACTGATGACTATGAACATGTTTCATTCTGTACATAACAATGTATGTATGTAAATATATGCTAATATATAATGATTTATGTGTATACTTATAATTATGTTTTTATACCTGCTATATATAAAATATTTATATATATTTTCTATGTAATTAATTTTAATTGTAATTTTTATTATATTGTTATCTAAAAAAATAACCATTTAAATTTAATACTTTTTGTTTATTTTCATCAACAACAATAATTTACAACTTATTGCTAGGTTCAAAATGGCACTTTATTTTTTTTTTTATTTTATAATTTTGGTTTTTTCTTACTTTACTTAAAAAATAAATTATGACAATTATATTTATAAAAAAAATTGTAATAATAATCTATAGCTTAATTATATGGTATACTTACATTTATAATACATTTTAAATTATTTCTAATTTTTTACTTATATTAATAAAAATATGTTTTTTTACAACATTTTTTGAAATGTAGAAAATTTCTAACAAAATTAATTACAATACAGCTTAATTCGTTGAATTACAGGGAGATAGAATGGCAAAATGGCAAAATTGAAAATGGTTGAAAATAATATTTGCCTGCAAAGCCCAGGACGAGAGCCATCAGAAGCCGGGAGTTTTTTTAAACAGCAATCTGATTTCTGACTAAAAAAAGAATCTGAAATAGATTAAAAAAATAATTTTGTGGACCATTCGAATTTTTAAGGAACATTTCTGAGAACCATACATTGTATTAATAATATTTTTTGGATACCCTCAGGATAGACTTTTCACAACCATACCTGCGGAATTTCGATATTTGGGGCTTCTGGGTACATTTCTCAAACGATTTGCTAGTAAATTTGATATTTTGGGTTCTCATTGTAGGAAAAATCTTCCTACCAAAAATTATCAATATTGGTCCTTTTTTAAGGGTAGCCTCCATAGAACGATACCTGCGGAATTTCGGTATTTTTCTGAGTTTTGGGCACATTTTACAACCGAATTGTTTGAAATTTGGTGTAATGGGTTCTAATTGGGTAGCAAGTTTTCATACCAAAAATTATCAATATCGGTCACTTTTTAAGGGTAGCTCCCATATAACGACACCTGCGGAATTTCGATATTTGTGGAGCTTTTGGACACATTTTACAACCGAATTGGCTGAAATTTGGTATAATGGGTTCTACTTGGGTAGAAAATCTTCACACCAAAAATTATCAATATCGGTTACTTTTTAAGGGTAGCCTCCACATAACGATACCTGCGGAATTTGGAGCTTTTGGGTATATTTCTCAACAGAATTAACTCAAATTTGATATTTTGGGTTCTCATTGTATGAAAAATCTTCCTACCAACAATTATAAATATCGGTCCCTTTTTAAGGATAGCCTCCACATAACGATACCTGCGGAATTTCGGTATTTTTGGAGCTTTTGGGCATATTTCTCAACCGAATTGACTTAAATTTGGTATAATGGGTATTTATTGGGTCAAAAATCTTCATACCAAAAATTATCAACATCGGCCCATTTTAATGATATCCTCCACATAACGATGCCTGCGGAATTTCGATATTTTGTGGCTTTTGGGTACATTTCTCAACCAAATTTGCTGAAATTTGGTATAATGGGTTCTGATTGGGTAGAAAATCTTCATACCAAAAATTAGAAAATCTTCACACCAAAAATTATCAACATCGGCCCCATTTTAAGGGTAGCCTCCACACAACGATACCTGTGGAATTTCGGTGTTTTTTGAGCTTTTGGGCACATTTCTCAACCGAATTGATTCGAATTTGATATTTTGGATTCTTATTGCTTGAAAAATCTTCCTACCAAAATGTATAAATATCGGTCCCTCTTTAAGGGTAGCCTACACATAACGATACTTGCGGAATTTCGGTATTTTTGGAGATTTTGGGCACATTTCTCAACCGATTTGCCTGTAATTTGATATTTTGGGTTCTCATTGCATGAAAAATCTCCCTACCAACAATTATCAATATCGGCCCCTTTTTAAGGATAGCCTCCACATAACGATACCTGCGGAATTTCGGCGTTTTTTGAGTTTTTGGGCACATTTCCCAACCGAATTGATTCGAATTCGATATTTTGGATTCTTATTGCTTGAAAAATCTTCCTACCAAAATGTATAAATATCGGTCCCTTTTTAAGGATAGCCTACACATAACGATACCTGCGGAATTTCGGTATTTTGGGGCTTTTGGGTACATTTTACAACAGAATTGACTGAAATTTGATATTTTAAGTTCTCATTGCGTGAAAAATCTACCTACCAAAAATTATCAATATCGGTCCCCTTTTTAGGGTAGACTCCATAGAACGGTACCTACAGAATATCGATATTTTGAAGCTTTTGTGCATATTTTTAACCAAATTTGCCGAAATTTGGTACGATGGGTTCTCATTGGGTCTAAAATCGCCCTACTAAAAATTATCAATATCGGTCCCCTTTTTAGGGTAGCCTCCACATAGCAATACCTGCGGAATTTCGGTATTTTTGGACCTTTTGGTCACATTTCTCAACCGATTTGCCAGTAATTTGATATTTTGGATGCTTATTACTTGACAAATTTTCCTACGAAAAATTATCAATATCGGTCTCATTTTAAGGGGAGCATCCATAGAACGGTACCTCCGGAATTTCGATATTTTGAGGCTTTTGGGTACATTTTACAACAAAATTGGCTGAAATTTGGTATAATGGGTAGAAAATTAGGTAGAAAATCTCCCCTACAAAAAATTATCAACGGTGATTTCCTTTTTAGAGTATCTTCGGGATTTCAATACCTTTGGAATTTCGATATTTTGCGGATCCTGAACAAAGGTTTCAATCGAATTGTCTATAACCTGATATTTTGGGTACTCATATGATACCCAATATCACTACAAAAAATATCAATATCAGTCTACTTATTAGGTTGGTCCCCATATAACGGTACCCTTCGTAATTTCGATATTTTAGGGATTTCCGAAATATTTTCCAACCGATTTGGCTCAAATTTGATATTTTTTCGGTTAATAAATCTTGCAACAAACTAATTTTTTTTTTTTTATATCCGGCCCATTTTTTTAGGTTAGCCTCCATATGGCGGTAGCTGCGGAATTTCGGTATTTTGGAGATGGGATGGACACGTTTCTCAACCGAATTAGCTGTAATTTAGTATTTCTAGATCTTCTTGGGTTGACAAATCTTAATACCAAAAATTTATGAAAATATCGGTAGATCTTTGGATATAGCTCTCAAATTGTGGACCAGATCCAGCCGAAGAGTTTATATATTTTTGTATTACGAAGTGACTGTAAATTGAAATTTCGGGATTGATGTGAGTCTATAACTTCTTTCCAAATTCGATTTTTTGAAATAAGTGCCAAGTCATTTTCACTATGTTCCGGTTCTTAGGCCAAATATCCTACTCGAATGTGTGTCTGTAATTGGCTTATTTCGTTTTCTTATGGCAGCAATTTACCGTGGCATCGTGGGCCCCTTTCACCGTGTAATTGTCCCATTCGGATTTACATACATACAAAAAAAAGATTTGTCATAGTTCCTGTAAATCTGTGCTCCTCGATTCGGTCTCGATGGTGCCCCATGGTGTGTACCACATAACCCGATTCGATTATCAGCAAAAAATCCAAAAATGCTCCTATAATGTTTTGGTCGTCATTATCACACACACATAAATGCCGCTAATGGATTTCCCTGACCCCCTCTGGGGAGGATCATTGCGGGAGGCAAACATATGTTCTGTGGCCTGACCCCGTGGGCTGGTTACCAGTTTTCTTCTTCGTATTCAATTTCAATTGTTTGCGTCATTTCACCCCTACCCCGGCCACCAACAACAACAACAACAAAATATCTGATTACAAATGCGAAAATAGAATTGATATTGTTGTTGTTGTTTTATCTATTATTGTTTTGGTTGTTGTCGTTGTTATTTTCCGACACGAGCAAAAATTGCCAATGGACTTATTTATTGAACCTTTTTTTTCGATTTTGCCTTTTTCCCTTCCAAATTTTATCTCTGGTATACATTTTCATTAGTCGGGTTTTTGTTGTTGTTATTTTTTTTTTGCATTTTGAATTGATATCCTGTCGAATGGCCTGGTGGCTGGCTATTTCTACAGCTGTATGCCCTTAAAATACACTTCAGCCGAAGAAGTGCCGTCGACAATCATTTCATTGTTATAGTCAATATTCCGGTTGTTATCGGTGGTAATGGCCTCTCCTTGTTTTTCTCCCGGACCACCGCGTCGTCGTCCTCCTCCTCCTCCTCCGACAATGCCATCAATGTGTTTCAATTTCATCACTGTTGCTGTTGTGGTGGTAGCGGTGGTTGCTATAAGGGTTTGCTGCTGTTCGGATTGCTGATGTCGTAATACTGTTGAGGTGGTGGTGTTGGCGAAGGTTTTGTCATTGTTCGACAGCCGCCTCATCTCATTATCCCCTGGAGCCAATCATACGCACGTTGTGGTCAAACGCGTTACCCGTGTCAGTTCAATGCTGCCCAGACGCCTCTTAAAAAATAACGATTTAAAGGTGGTGCGGAACTGTTTCGACATCAGGCCATAGAGCACGAAATCAACAGCCGCATTAATGAGTGCCAGTAAATCCATCATTTCGCCGAACACTTGATAGCACACTTCGAAAAAACATTTCTCCATAATGCCGGACATCAGACCCAATATGCCCTGGGGGAATTCGGTCAATAAGAAAAGGATTAACACAGCCACCAGCAGCATTGTTGTACGGTCCGTACGCCGGTCACATTTAGGTATTCTGTGGCGGAGAGCAACAGAGAGAGAGAGAGAGAGATGAAGAAATACAAAAACAAAAGGGAATACAAGTTAAGTCCTCTTTAAATCCCATTTTTCCGAATTTATTATCGGAAATTAATCCCACTCCCACCCATATTGTGGTGGCTTACCTTGAGGCATGCTTTTGCAAATGTTGATGCTGGGCCGACAACTTATTTGGATTACTATATTCCTTGAGTTTTTGCTTCCGCTTGGAGGCCTCACACAACACCTTGACCAGCACGAAGCTAATTATGGTTAATATACAGCAGGGCAGCAGCTTAATTATAACCGAGTGGATCCAAAAATTTATTCTGTAAAAAGAAATGAAAGGGAAATGAAACAAAGGAGTAAAATGTAGGGATCGGATTGGAATAAAAAACAAATTTCAAGGCCCATCGGGACTAATATTTTTTAAAAGTATTGTTCCAGGGTCAACAATAGGTGTGGATTAAAAAAAAAATGTGAGGTTGTAGGTTTTATAAAAAATGTTCAAGTACTGGTTTTTTTCAAATTCTCAGAATATTTTTTCAGGGTCTCAAATAAAGTGTGGATTTTTTAAAGAATAGTTTATAGGGACCTATAGAAGGCGTTGATTTTTTAAAGAATATTTTCAAGGCCTATCCAGGGCGTGGATTTTTTAAATAATAATTTTTTCAAGGCCTATCCAAGGCGTGGATTTTTTAAAGAATATTTTTTTCAAGGCCTATCCAAGGCGTGGATTTTTTAAAGAATATTTTTTTCCAATGCCTATCCAAGTCGTGGATTTTTTAAAGAATTTTTTTTCAAGGCCCATCCAAGGCGTGGATTTTTTAAAGAATAATTTTTTCAAGGCCTGTTCAAGGCGTGGATTTTTAAAGAATCATTTTTTCAAGGCCTATCCAAGGCGTGGATTTTTTAAAGAATCATTTTTTCAAGGCCTATCCAAGGCGTGGATTTTTTAAAGAATCATTTTTTCAAGGCCCATCCAAGGCGTGGATTTTTTAAAGAATATTTTTTCAAGGCCCATCCAAGGCGTGGATTTTTTAAAGAATATTTTTTCAAGGCCCATCCAAGGCTTGGATTTTTTAAAGAATATTTTTTCAAGTCCCATCCAAGGCGTGGATTTTTTAAAGAATATTTTTTCAAGGCCCATCCAAAGCGTGGATTTTTTAAAGAATATTTTTTCAAGTCCCATCCAAGGCGTGGATTTTTTAAAGAATATTTTTTCAAGGCCCATCCAAAGCGTGGATTTTTTAAAGAATATTTTTTTTCAAGGCCTATTCAAGGGGACCACAGAAGGCGTGGATTTTTTAAAGAATATTTTTTGTCAAGGCCTATTCAAGAGGCCCACAGAAGGCGTGGATTTTTTTAAGAATATTTTTTTCAAGGCCTATCCAAGAGGCCCACAGAAGGCGTGGATTTTTTTAAGAATATTTTTTTCAAGGCCTATCCAAGGGGCCCACAGAAGGATTGGTTTTTTTAAGAATATTTTTTTCAAGGCCTACCCAAGGGGCCCACAGAAGGCGTGGATTTTTTGTAAGTATATTTTTTTCAAGGCCTATCCAAGGGGACCACAGAAGGCGTGGATTTTTTGAAGAATATTTTTTTCAAGGCCTATCCAAGGGGACCACAGAAGGCGTGGATTTTTTGAAGAATATTTTTTTCAAGGCCTATCCAAGGGGACCACAGAAGGCGAGGATTTTTTGAAGAATATTTTTTCAAGGCGTGGATTTTTTAAAGAATAATTTCTTTCAAGGCCTACCCAAGGCGTGGATTTTTTTAAAGAATAATTTCTTTCAAGGCCTACCCAAGGCGTGAATTTTTTTAAAGAATAATTTCTTTCAAGGCCTACCCAAGGCGTGGATTTTTTTAAAGAATAATTTTTTCAGGGGTCGACTCCTTGATTCCGGTTCCAGGAACCTAAGAAAGTTTCACATGATATGTAAATTGAAAATATTAACAAGAAACGAATTGAAAAAAGGTACAAAGAAGAAAAAGTCAACTAGGTTCGACAAACATCTGTGTATTGGCATATCAACATGAAATTTCAATTATTTCCATTCCATTGCAATTTAAGATCCATGTCTCCTGAGGAATGTGAAAAAAAAGTCCTTCACAGTCACCATCATCTGGTTCGGTATTAGCGGTGGCATACCGTTTAGTTTCAAATGAACCACTACTCCCTTTAGGTATTTTTTGTTTAACATTTTTTTACAATAAACATTGACACACACACATACATATACATATGCACACACTACCATAGATGTGTATATACCACTTACCTATACAGATTGGAATTTTTATCAGCTTGAACATAGTACAAGACCCGATTGTCCTTTACACGTTCGCTCACTTTAAACACCAACAGCGTGGGAAAACAGACAATGGGCGATATGACAAAGGAGAAGAGAATGCATTCGTTGCAGTGGGACAACAGGAAGCTGGCACATGCTCCATGGGGGTGTCTGTAAAAATAAGAGGGTAATATTTGGCAAAAACGTTGACTACACGACGTGTGTTTGGTGGCATACGAAGTGAATTGGTGGGGAGGTGTATGGGGTCAATTGAAGGTTATTTCGAATGGGTTTGTTTTTTGGTTTGTCAGTGTATTGCATTTTTATTGTTAGATGTTTGATTATTTTGTTGATTTTGATTGGCACACAAAAAAAAGGAAATACAGAATGAGAACAGGAGAAATCAAAGAAGCAGAAAAAAACGAAGGAAAAATAAAGTGAGTCTTTTTGGGCGATTTTTTTTTAAGAATATTTGTCAGTTGATTTTAGAATCGGTACACCAATTATTTAACAACAGATCTCTAAAATGGAAATAAACCAATTATTTTAATTTTGAATTTTGCAATAAATTGAAAAAATAAGATGCAATTTACAACAATAAAAAAAAGTAAAATATCGATGTGAAAGGTGCTGAAAAAATTATTAATGAAAAAATAAATGTGTAGTATAGAAAAATATGAGGCAAAGAGCCAGAGGGGCTCACAAAAAAAAAAAAAAAAATAATAAAATATAAAACATGTGAATTTTAGGGTCCCACAATTTTTTTCTATAGAAAAACATTGGACCCAAGGGTCTCAGGAATTTTTTTCTATAGAAAAACATTGGAACCCAAGGGTCTCACGAATTTTTTTCTATAGAAAAACTTTGCAACCAAGGGTCTCACGATTTTTTCTATAGAAAACATTGTACCCAAGGGTCTCACGAATTTTTTTCTATAGAAAAACATTGGGACCCAAGGGTCTCACGATTTTTTTTCTATAGAAAAACATTGGGACCCAAGGGTCTCACGAATTTTTTTCTATAGAAAAACATTGTGACCCAAGGGTCTTACGAATTTTTTCTATAGAAAAACATTGGGACCCAAGGGTCTCACGAATTTTTTTCTATAGAAAAACATTGGGACCCAAGGGTCTCACGAATTTTTTTCTATAGAAAAACATTGGGACCCAAGGGTCTCACGAATTTTTTTCTATAGAAAAACATTGGGACCCAAGGGTCTCACGAATTTTTTTTCTATATAGAAAAACATTGGGACCCAAGGGTCTCACGAATTTTTTTCTATAGAAAAACATTGGGACCCAAGGGTCTCACGAATTTTTTTCTATAGAAAAACATTGGGACCCAAGGTTCTCACGAATTGTTTTCTATAGAAATGAAATTTTTCAAGAAATTTTTTTTATTTGAAAAATCGACCAAGTTTGACCTTGCATATAGCTGATAAAAATGTTTGTATTCAAATTAAAAAATTTAATTGGATTTTATATTTATAGAAAAAAAGGAGAAGGAAAAAAATCTTATACATTTTCGAAATACACGAACATATAATCTTTTCGAATATAAATTGCAATACATGAAAAAATATTAGACAAACAAATAAATGAACAGTGATAAAAAGTGTAAGATATGAGCACATACATACATATATTAAATACACTGAACGAAATGTTACGAGGATACAAGAAATCATAAAGGACTCCAACGAATATGAAGAAAGTTAGCAAAAAAGGATTACAAATGGCAAATGGAATTTAATTTTTTTTATTCGGAAAAATACACACACATATATACACAAGATATGCAATATATGTACGTGTACACACAATTTCACATATAGACACATATAGGGAAAAATTCATTACAAAAAAGAGAAAGTGCTATTGGTAAGCAAATGGTATGTTCGGTTGTACCGAATACCCTTCATTATCAAATAACTTAAAATATTCGGCATATGTCAGTATTTCCCCCATACAATCAGAATAAATAAGTCGCTCAAAAATCTCCCATGTATGAGAGGTGAGGTACACCTACGAATTTTTTTCTATAGAAAAAAATTAAACCCAAGGGTCTCACGAACTTTTTTCTATAGAAAAACATTGGGACCCAAGGGTCTCACAAATTTTTTTCTATAGAAAAACACACACACACAAAACACATAGGTCTAACGAATTTTTTTCAGAGATAGAAAAACATCATGGGACCCAAGGTTCTCACGAATTTTTTTCTATAGAAAAACATTGGGACCCAAGGGTCTCACGAATTTTTTTTATAGAAAAAAATTGGGACCCAAGGAATTTTTTTTATAGAAAAAAAAATTCGTCAGGTTCCCTGACGACTACTTTTTTCTATATAGAAAAAAATTGGGACCCAAGGGTCTCGATTTTTTTCTATAGAAAAAAATGGGACCCAAGGGTCTCACGAATTTTGGACCCAATGATCTCACGAATTTTTTTCTATAGAAAAAAAATTGACTCAAGGGTCTCACGATTTTTTTTCTATAGAAAAAAATTGGACCCAAGGGTCTCACGAATTCTTTTCTATAGAAAAAAATTGGACCCAAGGGTCTCACGAATTTTTTTCTATAGAAAAAAATTGGACCCAAGGGTCTCACGAATTTTTTTCTATAGAAAAAACTTGGACCCAAGGGTCTTACGAATTTTTTTCTATAGAAAAAACTTGGACCCAAGGGTCTCACGAATTTTTTTCTATAGAAAAAAATTGGACCCAAGGGTCTCACGAATTTTTTTCTATAGAAAAAAATTGGACCCAAGGGTCTCACGAATTTTTTTCTATAGAAAAACATTTGGACCAAAGGGTCTCACGAATTTTTTTCTATAGAAAAACATTTGGACCCAGGGGTCTCACGAATCTTTTTCTATAGAAAAGAAATTTTTCAAGAAATTTTTTTTATTGGAAAAATCGACCAAATTTGACCTTGCATATAGATAAAAATGTTTGTATGCAAATTATAAAATTTAATTGGATTTTATATTTATAGAAAAAAAGGCGAAGGAAAAAAATCTTATACATTTTTGAAATACACTGACATATAATCTTTTAGACAAACAAATAAATGAACAGTGATAAAAACTGTAAGATATGAACACACACATACATACATATATTTAATACACTAAACAAGTTGTTACGAGGATACAAGCAATCATATAGGACTCCAACGAATATGAAGAAAGTTAGCAAAAAAAGGAATACAAATGGCAAATAGAATTTAATTTTTTTTATTCGAAAAATTACACACACATACATACACAAGATATGCAATATATGCACGTGTACACACAATTTCACATATAGCGAAAAAAATCGATTACAAAAAAGAGAAAGTGTTATTGGTAAGCAAATTATATGTTCGATTGTAACGAATACCCTTCATTATCAGGATAACTTAAAACATTCGGCATATGTCAGGATCTCTCCCATACAATCAGAATAAAAAAGTCGCTCAAAAATCTCCTATGTATGAGAGGTGAGGTAATCCTACCCAGGTCGGATTTATGAAAAAGATATTTAAAATTCAACTTTGTTTTCATTGCAAACGATGTTTCAGTTTTTTGAGTATGTATGTGTGTATATGCAGGTGTACACATGCCCGAATAGTGTTTTTATAACTTTTCATTATTGTACCGAAAAAAAACACACACAAAACACATTGCAACATTGCAATACAATAACATCTAGAGGATTACAATAACAATATCAGCTTACCTTATGGCTACATAGCGCCACACTGCCAATGTCACCGTCAGACCAATGGAGATTGTATGCAGGACTTGGGTATAATTCATATGGAACAGAATGTAAATGGCCCAGGCGTAACTGAAATCTTTTTGACCTGGAAAGTAAGAAAAAAAAATATTTGGATATACAAAACAAAAAAAAAAAAAAAAAAAAAAAAAAAAAAAACAAAATACCGGACTCCCTTGGATCGATTTTTTTCTATAGAAAAAAATTCATGAAACTAATTTTTGATTTTTTTCTATCTGACTTACCTGGTTTCATATAAATATACTGTGACGATGCAAATGGTATATACTCAATCATTACAAACATATCAGCCACTGCCAGCCACTTTAGAATTTTATTTATAGGGGCTTTGGCCATGTCCTTTTTGGTCAATACCATGATATTCAAAAGATTGGCAATTGTTCCGAAGAGGCAAATCTGAAATGCAAAAAAAATAAATAAATAATAAAAACAGGGATAATAAAATGATTGATGACTGTAGTTGTATTGGTAACATGATAAATGTAAATGTAATTTATGAATGTATGGGATATCTGTGTGTTCTTTTATACATGATTACACATGCTTGGCAATTAGCATTTACATAAAAAAGCTTGGTAATAAAAACATTGCTTTTTAGTCCTTTTTTAAACATTGTGTATGTACCAGCAATTAAATATATCAATAGTCGCGCCTGCATATATGTATGTATATCCATCAAATGTACATACATATAAAACACAATGATGTTATCACGTCAAATGTGAGTACAGTTTAACTTGATTCGGCTAGTTTTTTTCATTTCATTGGCCACAAGAATTTGGTTCTATCGAAAAACTTTGACCTCACGATTTTTTATAGAAAAAAATCGACCCAAGTGTCTCACGACTTTTTTTTATAAACAAAAAACGATTTTTTTATGGTTTTGGATCTAAAGGTCTTACGATTTTTTTTTTCTGTAGAAAAAACTTGGATCCAAGGGTCTCACGAATTTTTTTCTATAGAAAAAATTTGGACCCAAGGGTCTCACGAATTATTTTTCTATAGAAAGAACTTGGACCCAAGGGTCCCACGAATTTTTTTCTATAGAAAAAACTTGGACCCAAGGGTCTCACGAATTTTTTTTTTCTATAGAAAAACTTGGACCCAAGGGTCTCTCGAATTTTTTTCTTTATAAAACTTGAAAAAACTTGGACCCCAGGGTCTCAACAATTTTTTTCTATGGAAAAAAACTTGGACCCAAGGGTCCCACGATTTTTTTTTTCTATAGAAAAAAACTTGGACCAAGGGTCTCACGGATTTTTTCTATAGAAAAACATTGACACAAAGTTGTCACGATTTATTTTCTGTAGAAAAAACTTTGACCCAAGGGTCTCACGAATTTTTTTTTATAGATTTTTTTTTTTTGTAAAAAAAATTGGACCCAAGGGTCTCACGATTTTGTTTCTATAGAAAAAAACTTGACACAAATGTTGTCACGATTTATTTTCTATAAAAAAATCGATCCAAAAGTCTCACATATAAAAGGCATTGATTTCAAAAAAATAGTTTTCGAAGTGAACAGTAGAAAATTGGGTGAATATACTACGACACATTTGTTTTAAAGACACATGAAGTATAAAACCAATAATTCCCGGAATCACATCATTGATCGCAACGAAATGATTATCCCCTTACTAAACTCAGAGTGAAGCTATAAAAAAAGAAAATGTTGACAATGATAGGGTAAAGAAAGGCTTTTCATTTATTCATGAGACCTATGGGCTGATATTTTTATACCCTACACAACTATGTTGTCAGGGTATTATAGCTTTGTGCAGCCCCAAAAGTTTGTAACGTCGCGAAATATTGGTCCTAGACCCACCATTAAGTATAGCGATCGTCATATCTCAACTAGCTGAGTCGATTTAGACATGTGTGTCCGTCCGTCCGTCTGTCTATTATAATTTGTAAACAAGATACAGGCCACAGTTATGGACCAATCTTTTTGCATGTAGGATGGCTTCTGGCCAATGAAGAACCCTATTGTTTTTGGAAACGATCGGTTAATATTTAGGGGATGAAATGGACCAAAAACTTTATTTTTGTCGGTTTTTCTGGTCACTCCAGAGGCCGCAATTATGGCCCAAACACCGCGAATGTTTGCATGAAGAAGGGGATCGGGCCAAAGAATAAGTATGCCTGTTTTGATAACGATCGGTCAATATTTAGAGGGTCAAATGACTTTTGTATATATTTGTACCTGAAGGTCCTAGACCCGAAAAGTTGATAGTATGTTCAAAAGGAGTGATTGACCTTTAAATTGATACCAATTATATTGTCGTATGCACTCGAATGCAGGACTTACACATAAATATTTAAAGGTGCTTACGTATTCATATATTATTTAGTAACCCATTACCATATTAGAGGGCGGAAATATAGCGCTGATCGCTTTGAAATTTTCCATGAGGTTCAAGTTATGGTCACCGACAACGCCTATAATTTTCAGTGATGATCAGATAATAATTTTGGGATGAAGTGGACCGAAAATTTATTTTTTGGTGTTTTTTTTTCGAGTCGATCTATAGGTCACAATTGAAAGCCGAACATCACAACACAACCCACGGTGAAGGAAATCTGGACAAGTGATTAGAAGGGCTGTACTGAATATTTTTAATATTTCTTGACATCTGGTCGGTCAAGAGCGTGCAAATATCGCGAAATATTGCCCAAGCTCAGAATATAGAACCATAGAAAGTTATAGTTTCGTGGAAGTTGTGTAGGGTATCGTATGGTCGGCCACGTCCGACTATACTGCTCCGCTCACTGGTTTTATATTTGACAAGATTTTAAAAGTAATTTCTGTTAAGTTCACCATTCGTCTAGGGAGCGTATAAGTAATATTAATAAACATTAACCTGGGTGCGTATTATTATCCTTAAATTAATATTAATCATACGCCGAATAAAAGGTTAGGATTTGTTTCCTAAAAACTTTCAAAGCCTAGAAAAAAAGGATCTCACAATTTTTTTAAGGAAAAAAAAGTATTATGATTATATTCCGATTTCGGGTAATATATCATGGAGTTTCCAAAGAAAAATACCATAAGAAGGAGACATTTTTTCTACAATTTATATTCGATTGAATTTACTAATACGCTCCCATGTTAAACCTAATTAATATTACTTATACACCCCTTAGTTCAGTGACTAAATAAATTTCATTTTCTTTCAATTTCAATTTAAAAAAATCAAATCCATCGACTATAAATTTTATAACAAAATATATCTAACCCTGTCGAATTGTTGTCTATGGAAAATAGGCTCAGACCATGAATATAATAAGGAGGAAAAATGCTCAAGTCTTTTTCTGACAGCATGCTCTTTTTTATACCCTCAACCGAAGGATACAAGTAAAAATTAGTTTCGACGAATGAACTTCGGCTTTCGGTTACAAATACGTTTCAGCAACTTTGGAGTTGGGATATTATTACGAATCTTCTACATCCTTTGTAAGGGCCTCGAAGACAAGTTGTTTAAAATCCAAGATTTTTATTGTGCGTATAATTTATATTAGATTAATGTCACTAATACGCTCCCATGATAAAACTAATTAATAATACTTATACGTCCCATAGCTATGGAGTTAATTTAATGTCATTTTCTATACATTTCCATTCAAAAATTACTTCTTCTATCTGCCATCTACATTAAGTATAAGAATATCATATGAGGCTGTTGAATTTTTTTTGCTATATAATTTTTATATGGAAAATATTGGAAGCGTGGGGTTTTATAGAAATTAAATATTAGATCCTGTATTTGCTCGTGACTCTTTCAAATTTGTTTCTATTGAAAAAGAGCCCACTGGGTCTAACGATAGAAAATGGGTCACAGGTAAATATCCCTGTTATACTTCATAGGACTTTAAGGCAAATACCTTTCAGAAAATTTGAAGCAACGTGCGAAAGCAGTTTTTTCATTATTTTGCCCTATGTTTGAGCTTAGAAAATTATTTTTAAAAAATCCAGAACATTGAAAAACCATTAAAAAAATATTTAAGTTCTCCTTCATGGTGTGTATACTTTATATTTGCTTAATGGTACTAATACGCTCCCATGTAAGACATAATTAATATTACTTATACGCTACATAGTTGAGTGGTTAAATATATTATGATTTCATATTAAAAAATAACCTCTCCCATATGTATAGAAAAAAATATATGCAATTCTGGATCTAACCATTTTTTTATGGAATACAAATATTATTAATAGGTTCTATCGATTTTTTTTTTTTGTAGCTAAGCGTACTTAATTGAGCCTAGAACGACGTGTGTTAAGTTTCGTGTAAATCGGTTCAGATATAGATATAGCTCCCATATATATTTTCGTCCGATTTAATGTAAATGGTGCACCAAGGACCCTATATATCTTTCGATAGGCACGAAATTTATATATCGGAATTAAGTCTAGAATGATGTGTGCACGAAAAAATTATGTCATATATAGCGTACATGTCCCTAAATAGCTTTCGATTTGCATGAAATTTTCTATAGCCTACTGAATTAAGTTTAGAATGATGTGTGCAAAGTTTCGTGAAAATCGGTTCAGATATAGATATAGCTCCCATATATATTTTCGTCCGATTTAAGGTAAATGGTGCACAAAAATCCCTAAATAGCTTTCGATTTGCATGAAATTTGGTATAGCCTACTGAATTAAGTCTAGAATGATGTGTGTTAAGTTTCATGAAAATCGGTTCAGATTAAAATATAGCTATATATTTTCGTCCGATTTAACGTAAATGGTGCACCAAAGTCCCTAAATATATTTAAATTTGCACGACATTTGGTATAGCCAACTGAATTGAGTCTAGAATGATGTGTGCAAAGTTTCGTGAAAATTAGATATAGGTTCAGATTTAACGTAAATGGTGCACCAAAGTCCCTAAATATATAGACATTTGGTATAGCCAACATATATATGTTCAGATTTGGATCCGATTTAAGGTAAATGGTGCACCAAAGTTCCTAAAAATCTTTCGATTTGCACGAAATTTGGCACACCGTACTGAATTGAGTCTAGAATGATGTTTGCTATGTTTCGTGAAAATCGGTTCAGATTTAGATATAGCTCCCATATATATTTTCGTCCGATTTAAGGTAAATGGTGCACCAAAGGCCCTATATATCTTTCGATTTGCACGAAATTTGGTATAGTCTACTGAATTAAGTCTAGAATGATATGAGCAAAGTTTCCTGAAAATCGGTTCAGATTTAGATATAGCTCCCATATGTATTTTCGTCCGATTTAAGGTAAATGGTGTACCAAAGACCCTACATATCTTTCGATTTGCACGAAATGTGGCACAGCGTACTGAATTAAGAGTAGAATGATGTGTGTTAATTTTGGTGAAAATCGGTTCAGATATAGATATAGCTCCCATATATATTTTCGT